CGCGCCATCAGAGTCTAGTTCCAGCCAGATCCCGTGCCTGCCCCTGCCACAGGGCCTTTGCAGGTGCTGCACCCCGACTGCCCCCAGTCCGGCTAACCCTCCTCTGAGACCCCCCCCCACAGAGCCCCTCCCCAGCTGCAGTTCTCTGCCTGCTTGTTTGTCCCCTGCCCCTGAGTCCCTGAGGACGGGACCTGTGGGCATCTTGTCCGCTGTGGGACCCTCAGCACCCAGCAAGCAGCCCCGCCCCCAGGAGCGGTCAGTAGGCGCTTGATGAGTGGACAGAGGTGACGGAAGGAACAAGCAGTCTAGGGAGACTGTCGACGTCACCGGGTGCTTCCCCCGATGATGTCACTGGAAACAGCGTCCTAGGACAAATGTTCCCTCTGACAAGCCCCTGACAGCTTTCTCCCACGGCTGGGCACGTGGTGGGGGGGCGTGTCCAGGGTGACACAGGACTTAGCCTTGCACGTAACAGGAGAACCCTGAGGGTTTCCAGCAGGGTGGGGGACACCAGCCCAGACACACGGTGGCCAGGAAGGGGAAGGAGGATGCGGAACAGGAAAGCACGGCCCCAGGAGAGAGAGAGTGGACAGAAAGTGGACAGGGCAGGGGAGTGGTGCCCACGCCCTCAGGAGACACCAAGAGGACACCAGTGGGATCCCAATGAGCCACCCGACCACAGATCACAAGGCCATCTGTGAATGCAGGGGCCACGTGCCTCGTTCAGAGCTTTCTAGTTGACATGTTTTTTAAAAATCAGCAAAAAAGAAAGAGGCTTTGCCGGGCACGGTGACGATCCCAGCAGCTCAGGAGGCCGAGGCAGGAGGACTGCAGGTTGAAAGCCAGCCTCAACAACTTGTGAGGCCTTAAGCAACTTAGCGAAATCCTGACTCTCATCAAAATCCAAACAAGGCTGTGGATGTAGCTCAGCAGTTAAGCAGCCCCAGGTTCGATCCCAGTACGAAAAAGAGAAAAAAGAGGTGAAGGTGAAGTTCATTTAATGACATTTTTAAAAAATGTATTTTGTTTTAGTTGTTGTTGGACACAATACTTTTATTTATTTATTTATTTATTTATTATATTTATTTTTAGTTTTCGGTGGACACAGCATCTTTATTTTATTTGTATGTGATGTCGAGCATCCAACCCAGGGCCCGCTGTGCGAGGTGAGCGCTCTACCGCTGAGCCACAACCCCAGCCCCTATTTAATGACATTTTATGGAACCCAATATTCCTAAAGTGTTGCCATCTCAATAAGGAATCAGTACAAAATATTGGCAGGGAGATGCCACAGGTCCTTTGGAAACCCCGGTGTGTTTTGTTTCAGGTGCTGGACAAGCCACCTGTGGCCAGTGGCTACTGTAGCATGTGCCCACGTCACAGGATCCCATTCCCCACCAGCAGCTGTTCACCTGAATGTCCCTCTTCATCTATCGTCCCTTCAAAGCCTGGCCAGCTGCCCTGGCTGCCAGGGCCTCATGGTAACCTGAGCTGAAGCAGGAAATTTAGTTCCGAGTCAGCCCAGTGGGCTCTGGTCCCTGTCCTCAAGGTCTCACGTGGCCATTTGAGCTTTGCCCCTGGGCCCACACCTGGGCCTCCAGCCCTGGGGACACCCTAGACCCGGGCCCACGCTACCTCCCACGCCGCTGGACCCGGCCACCAGCCCCTTCTGCCTTCTCTCTGCCCAGCAGAGATTCTTCAAAGGCCAACACACATACACCAAAATCGTCCCAGTGTCCCTTGGACCCTGACCCCAGCCACCGGCTGACAAGACCAAGGACATCTCCCCAGGGAAGCAGCCCCATTGCCCGGTGCCTCCGCTCACAAATCCAATCGCCACTTTCTGGAAAGTTCTCCCTCGTAAATAAATGAGACTAGAAATGGCCCATATGGATACGTAATGTTGTTAAAACCACTGATTAAGTTTTACACAACCGCGTGAGAGCAAACGAAAAGGTTTTAGCTTTTTAATTTAAGAAAAGAGGAATATGATATAATTTCAATTTGTGATAAGATAAGATGTTCTCGATATTGCGGTTTCAATTGGATTACATCCTAATGTGCTTTATAAAGTGTCAGGACGGCTGCGGATGAAGGTGTGTGTGGGATATTCTTTATTAACAATTTAATGGGCCGAGTTCGCTCTATCCGTCTTCATCAAGGGCTTCCTGGCCACCTGGGAGGCCTCGTTAGTGCAGAACCCCAAACTCCAGGCTGGGCTTCCTCGGGAAAGGCCAGCCCGGGGGAGACCCCTAGGTGGACCAGCAGACAGATGTGCTTTGACCACCGCACCTGGTCAAAGGCTTCTGCTAGCAGGGCCCTGGAAGGCGGTGACCAGGTGCGGTGGTGGGAGGGCCCCGCCCTGCCCCTGTCCTCTGGCTGTACCCCTCCTGCGGGGTTAGGAATCTCCAGGGAAGGGGGAGGGGGCCACCCAGAGCTGTGTCCACTCCCACACCTTGCTCCACATTCCCCGGCCCCTGAGTCCCTTGGGGTCTTCCTGACCCCCCTGAGGACACCCAGGCCTACACGGAGGTGTGGGTGACCAGGCCCTGGCCCTCAGGAACGGGGGTGGGCTGTGGGTTCAACTCCCACCCTGGGCCCTACACCCGCTGCTGCAGAGACTGGGGGTGGGGGTCTGGCCCAAGTAGGGGTGTGGCCCTCAGCTCTGGGACACCCCAGGAGGCCCCCCAGGGGACCTCAAGCCCTCACCAGGGCGCTGAGTCAGGTTCAGGCAGTGTCGGTCTCCATTGCTGGTGCACAGGTGACAAACTGGAGGCCACAGGGCGCGGACAACCTGCGTCACAGGTGGAACCCGGTTTGCTGGCTCCTTCACCCACCCCCCAGGGGATGTCGGCCAAGCTCTGCTGGGGCCAGGCACCATACCAGAGCAGGGGACGCACACACAGTGCGGGGACAGGCGACCCCTGACCTCAAGAACCTCCACCTGAGAGAGGGACCGGACAACAGCCAAAGCCAGGTGAGCTCCAGGGGCTGAGGGACCAGGGCCCCTCTCCCAGGAGGGCACAGGGACCTGGACGGGGGACTTGGGGGTTCAGGCAGAGGGGCCTGTAACACAGAGGCCAGGGAGCTGGGAGCAGTGGAGAGGGGTGAGGCTGGAGTCCCCACAGGGCCCTGGGAAGATGGGCCACCTGGCTGAGCCCAGGCCTGGACTGTCCTTCAACCCAGCCTCTGTCTCAGGCCCCTGGAGGCTGCAGGCCTGGGGACCCATGGACACAGGGCTGGGTTGGGACAGAGGCAGCCCCTCTCTAATTATCCCCCACCCTATATCCACGCATGAACACTGCTGTTCCAGGCCACTCTGGGAATAGAGAGGACTGAGCACACATTAAGTGCCTCCTGTGTACACAGGCAGGAGAGGGTGGCCCTGGGGCACCTCTGGAGATTGCCCAAGCCCCAAGTCCAGTCTGGGGTGCAGGGCAAGTTGTCCGGTCAGCTGTGGGGGGGCCGGTTCACTTCCAAGTTGGGGGCAAGCAGGGTGAACCAGCGCCACTCTGTCCCCAAGGGGCCACCCCAGGGCCCCACAGGCCTCACTGCTCCAACAGTGGCTGCTAGAGCCTAGCATCTGGCCAGGTCGGGCACCTTAACTCTGCATCCCAATGGCCAGTGTCACATGGGGCTGCAGGTGCCGGGCCCCTGGCAGGCAGCAATGTATATGTCCTGCTGGTCAGTGCTGGTCAGTGCTGGTCAGTGCTGGTCAGTGCTTGGGGGACTTGACTTTCAGGGCCCCATTTACTGAGCATTGGGGTGTCCAGCCAGTGCCACCAGGCACCCCACAGCTGCTCCTGGGGTCCCCTGATGGCTGGATCCTGAGTATTGCCCTGTGGGGAACCTTGGAGCTGTGTGGCCCCAGCAGGTCCAGCCCAGGTGGCCAAGGCAGTAGCTGGACACCCTTGCCTTCCCTGTCCAAAAGCCCCATGGCTCCCCTCCTGACTCACCCCCCAGGAGCACTCACGGCCCCTCAAGGGCACAGTCCAGAAGCCCAGAGGTTGACCCCAGGTTCTAGTCCCCAGCCTGCATATAATGTGCTGTGCAGCTTCAGGACACTGTATCACCTCTCTGAGCCTCGATTTCCTTATCTGAAAAATGGAGCCGCTTTGGGGGTGCGCCAGGCTGCCCCATCCCTGCTGCGTGGCACTCTGCCTCCCCCTGGTGGCCAAGATGCCACACTGCCACAAGTCCCCTGGTGGGTCAGATCTAAGGACATTGGTCTGGGGAGCCCCAGAGGCTCAGCTGCACCGTCAGCCCACCGCCCAAGCCCCTCCTGCTTCCCCCTAATACACAGAGGCTCCGGGGCCTCTGCTCAGAACTGCTCCCAGGGCCCAGGGCCCAGGGCCCAGGGCACCAGGCCACGCTGGAGCACCTGGCCCAGGCCTGGTGACCACTCGGGCAGTCTGCCTCCCGACTCTTCCCTCTGGCCTCTCTGCCCACACTGGGCATCTTTAAGCTCCCAGACCGTGGTCCTGCGGTTCCTTTGGCCAGTCACACCCTGCCCTACCCAGGGGTCTTCCATTCCTGGGCCCGGCCACCAGTGTCTGGAACAGCCAAGGTCTCAGATGTCAGGCCACTGAGATGCACGTCTCCTGGGGGCCACATCTGAGTTCAGTTCCACAGCGCCCCCCCCCCCCACGAAGTTCATGTCCAGCCTCTCCATGCAGCCAGGAGGCAGAGCACCCTTCTCAGTGAGCGCAGGCAAGGCCCAGAGAGGGTCAGCTGCTACTCAAGGCCACAGAGCTCATCCCCTCTGGGTAGAGCTGGACTGAGGTAGGGCCCCTGGGCCTGGTGCTGGGCCCCCAGCTCACCTAAGGAATGTGGAGGAGGACATCAGGGACATCCGTCAGTTTCTTTTTTTGGTACCAGGGATTGAACTCAGGGGCACTCGACCACTGAGCCACATCCCCAGCCCTGTTTTGTATTTTAATTAGAGACAGGGTCTCACTGAGTTACTTAGAGCCTCGCTTTTTGCTGAGGCTGGTTTTGAACTTGTGATCCTCCTGCCTCAGCCTCCCATGTCTCTGGGATGACAGGCGTGCGCCACTGCACCCATCTAGTTTCTTTTTTGAAGGCACGAGGAAAGGGAGGCACAGGCCCTGTGGCCAGAGTGCCCCTCCGGTCAGTCCCTCCTCCAGCCTAGATGCAAGGTCCGGGCCAAGGTCCAGGGAGGCTCTTGCAGCCCCTGCTGGGCAGCTCACTCGGGGTGACCAGTCTTGCTCTTAGGGGACCAGATCTTAGGAAAGCGGAACTTGGACTTTTTCCTCTGGAGACCTGAGGAGAAGAAGGAGAGTGAGGTTGTGCTCCATGCTGGCCGCTGCCCACACGAGTCCCTGTGGGAAGTCCCTCCCTCCCACCCACCAGGGTCCTCCAGGGCCCAGAGGAGAACTGCACCCCATCCTCAGCGTGCCCACCCCACTGAGCACGGTGAAAGCCCCGGCCAGTGCCCCACACAGATCCCCAGCCATCAGCCACTCAGCTCCCTGGGGAGTCGGCCTGGCCAGGCTGCCGTCTGGACCCAGCCCCCAGTGCCGGCAGCCCCTGCGCCCACACTGCTGACCTGAGGTACCCAGCTTCTGGATCATGTTCTGTAGCATCTGGTCTTCCTCTTGCTCCCTGGAACACAGATGGGGTGGCCATGAGGGACAGGCCCTGGACAGGGCAGGGGAGGCACACTGTCTCTGGTCCCCTCCTACCAGAGCCCTGGCGCCACCTGACTGGGGCCGCCTGCCTTCTTCAGACCAAGAGGCCGGAGCTTGACACCACTCTCCCCACCAGGTGGACCCCTGCCCTCTCCAGGCCTAGCCCCTTAATAGTGACCTGGGACAGCAGGGGACTTGAGCTGACCACACCAGTGATCTAGGGCAGAGGGGCCCTGGGCTGACCACATCAGTGACCTGGAGACAGCAGGGGGCTTTGGGCTGACCACACCAGTGACCTGGGATGGCAGGATGCCTTGGGCTGACCACACCAGTGACCTGGGATGGCAGGATGCCTTGGGCTGACCACACCAGTGGCTTGGGAACGGCAGGGGCCCTAGGCTGACCCCAACTTTGACACAGGGACAGCAGGGGGCCCTGGGAAGGTGCCTTCAGGCTCCCTCATGGGCTCAGCCTGGGCTGCTGACCCTGTGTGGACCGGACAAGGCCCTCATCTGGGACATGAGACAGGAAAGGTCCTTGGGGACAGCCCCGAGGCCACACGACCCAGCGCTGTTGCCAGAAGACACACGGCTGTGAAAATTCACATCAAAAACAAAACTTCAGATCCAGCTCCCAACTGCGCAGGCCACAGGACAAGCGACCAATGACCACGCGGCCAGGGGCTCATGAGGGACAGCTCTGGTAAGGGGACATTTCCCTCACAGCAGAAAGTTCCTCTGGACAACGCTGACCCTGAAGGCCGGGGACCTGGGGCAGGAAGGAGCTCTGTGGCCAGGAACTGAGGCGGTGGCCTGGGAGGCCTGTGTGGCGTGAGGGACCCGCCTGAGGGACGCGCCTGAGGGACGCGCCTGAGCGCACAGGCCTCCCTCCTCCCTGGGGGGCAGAAGGTGCACAGTGAGGGCAGCCTGGCTGGGAGGGGCCTGGCACTCGGGGGGCGACGCTCCCCGGCCCCTCAGCCCTGCCCTCCCCTGGGCACATCCTGCCCTCACCGGAGCCGGTCCTCGTCGAGGAAGTCCACGATGTCACTGCGGTCATTCACCGTGTTCACATACTGGCTCAGCAGCTCCTGCTCCCGCTGCTGGTCCTGGGGTGACTTCAGAGCCTCTGCAAGGACAGCCGGTCAGAGGCATCCCCACCCCGCTGGGGGGCAGTGTCACCTGCCCAGGTGTGGGCTTCTTCCCTCGAGGGAAGGTGGGTGCTAAGCCCCCAAGCAGGCTCCAGGCCAGCGAGTGGGAGAAGGGACCGACCAGTCTGCATGCTGGACCCTGTCCCTTGAGCCTCCTCCCCCAGTGCTGGCCACAGTGGGACACAGAGGCAGGCGCAGGCCACAGCCACGGCAAGGACAGGGAGGGCAGTCATGGCCGCTGGGGGACGCGCCTCACCACTGCCCTCTTTTTGTCCACACCAGCTGTGAAGGGTGCCATGTGGCCGCGTTTGGGGAGGATGGCAGCCAGGCGCAGAGCCAAGCGACGTGGCCAAGGACACGCGGCCAGGAAGGGAAGGACAGGGGACTCAAAGCCAGCCCTGCCTGCTCGGGCCCCTTCGCAACACCACCGGCCTCCCACGGGGGCAGCAGGGCGGCTTGGGGAGCCCGCACCCCTCCTGCCGGCCTGGGGCTGAGGCCCCCCACCCCTGCTGGCCCGCGCCCTGGGGCCCTCAGGCTGGCCTTCCTGGCAGGAGGGGCACAGGACGCACCGGGCTTGGCCATCAGCCGTCGCAGTTCACCCTCGAGGTCCAGCTGCTGCTCCTCCAGGCGCTGGTCCTTGGACCTGCCGGACACAGAGGTCTGAGGCCTGGCCTGGCCTGGCTGCCCCACCGGCGCCTTCTGGGACAGGCCCCTGGCCCCGGGCTGCGGGACGCTCACTTGTACATCAGCTCCGACTCCAGCCTCAGCAGCAGCTGCTTCTCGTGGATGAGCTGGAACCAGTCCACCATGAGGCCGTCCTCCGTGTCATCTGGGGACAGAAGCTGGCTGCACACGGAGGGACTGCCGGCTCCCAGCCCCCGCCCAGCACAAGGGGTCTCCGTCTGGTTCAGGTCCCAGGGCCAGGACATTCCCCAGGGGAGAGCTGGCCGCCAGGCGGGCACTCAGGAGGGACGGGGCCCGCTCACCTCCCTCTGCTGCCCGCAGACGCTGTTCCAGCTCCACGCCCCTGAGCTCCAGGATGTCCAGCTGCCTCTCGATGTCCTGCACCTGCCTCTGGATCTCCTCTTGGGGGATGTAGTCAGGGTGCAGCTAGGGACCGAGGGAGGGAGGGGGACAGTTGGGTGCAGCTAAGGACCAAGTGCAGTGGGGGACGTGGGGTCCAGGCTCCAGGGCCACCACTGAGAGTCTACTCACCCTGACGGGGGAGGTCACCTTCTTGCCGGGCTGAGTGGGCACACCGGCCGGGCCCAAGGGCCTCCCTAGAGAAGGGGCAGGCTGAACTCCTGGGCCATAGGGCACCAGGCCCAGGGAGACCTGGACGTGGCCTGGACTGGTCTGACCCAGGGCTGCTAGGCCCACCTCCTGGATGTCCCCTGCATCACTTGCTACCCAGCTGCCTGCCCCAGCCACAGGTACCTGGGCAGTCCCTGCTGGTGCCCAAAGGTCAAGAGCTCGCACAGGCCAACCCAGAACCCATCCCGCCATGTCCCCACCTTCCTCTGGATCAGCAGTGACAGACACACCCCTCTAGCACCCCTGGCCTCCCCAGACTCTCAGGCTGCCAGGACAGTGCTGCCACCCTATTCACAAAAAAGACTTGGTCCTCCAGGCCGCCTCGGCCCAGTGAGCTCCTACACATCCTCCAGAGCCCCAGGAAGCGTGTCCTCCCCAGGAAGCCTCCTTGGTCTACACCCCAAATAGGAGCACGGCTCTGGGGCTGACCTGGTTTGCCCCCAGGATGGGGCTTCTCCTCCTTCCAGCTCCCGGCCAGGGCTTCCTGCCCAGAGGGCTCTGACTGCAGCCAGTCAGCAGAAACATCAAGATTGGCAGGGATGGCCAGTCTCCTGCGGTGGACGAGGGTGGGGGAGGGGGGAGGGGCTGCCCGCAGGCAGGGGACAGAGCCACGTGTCAGGCCAGAAGGCCGCCACTCCTGAGCCACCAGGAGCGCTGACATCACAACACCCCGGGCCCCTCCGACAGACACAGAGACCTTCAAGACCACCGCATGCTGCCCAGACTGGCCATGTCCACCCACAGAGGGCAGCATCCTGACTAACACGCACGCACTCCCCACACCTGAGCCGTGCACCCGAGTCCCATCTAGAACACACACGCGCCCGTGCCTGCCCTCCTCCAGCTGAGGACACCATTGCCCTTCCCGCCACAGTCCACGGACCCCACCCCCAAAGCGCCTGGAGCCCCGGGGTCCCTCTGGCATTACCTGAGATGCCAGACCTGGGGCTGACTGGTCTTGGTGTCCCCTCAGGCCGCACAGGGGTCAGGGTGATGCAGACACCCCCAGTGGAGTCGCCTGAGACCTTCCTGAGGGCCTCTCCCACCCTCAGCTCTGTCGGGATCCGCGGCTCCCTCAGATCCAAAGACCTGGGCAGAAGGCTCAGGGTCAGCCACCGCCCCATCAGCGCAGGCCTGGGCCCCTGGGAGAGCCTCCCAAAGGACAGGCGGACAGGAGAGAGGCAGGAAGCCTGGAGAGAGGGCGCCTGGAATGTTCTGGGTGATCACCTGCCTCCCACCTCAAGACCCCTCGGGGCACACTCACCTGTGAACCCCCCAGACGTGAGCACAGGCTCAGGTAGTCACGGGTGACCAGACACGAGCCCAGGACCCCGTGTGCACGCGCACGTGAGCTGCCATGTCCAGGAGTGGACATCTGCCCCGTTGCCTGATATCTGGGATGTGTCCCCATGTCATTCTGCTGGTGTGAGTTATTCTATGACACTCAAGATGGCATGAGTTGTCCCCTGTCACTCAGCAGGTGTAAGCCAGCTGGTGTGAACAGACCCCTGTCACTCAGCTGGTGTGAGTTGTTCCCTGTCACTCAACTGGTGTGAGCGGTCTCTGTGGCTCAGGTGGTGTGAATATTCCCCTGTCACTCAGGTGGTGTGAAATGGTGCCTGTCATTTGTCTGGTGTGAGTCGGCTTTTGCTACGTACACCTGAGGGGCACAAGTGACGTGTGTTTGTTGGTGCCATGGTGCGTGCATCTGCTGGCGTGTGCCCTCAAGCACCTTGGCCCAGACCCTGTGCCCACTCGGTCCCATGCTGCAGACACCGGGCACAGGAGCGGGTCCAGGCAGGCTGAGCCCCGCCCACCAGCCCCTCACCTGCTAGCGGGGGTCTTCTTGTCCACAGGCTTCAGGCGGGCCCTCCATTCTTCTGGCCTGTCCTCCTGGCCTTCCTGGGGGCTGGCACCTGGGCCTGGGCAGACAATGGGGGTCAAGGGCCAAGGAGACAATTCATAAGAGGGGTCTGCCCTGTCCTGGGAACACAGGGCCTCCCCCTCCTGTCTTCCTGCAGCCACCCACCCTCCAAGGCCCCCAGAGCCACCGGGCATTCAGGAAGAGCCCTGGGCTGGAATCTAGAAGTGGGGCTCCAGCCTGGCCACCCCGAGCCCCGCCTCCTCTTCTGCCATCGGGGCAGGGGTGTGTGGGGGGAGCCCTGGTCACTCATGTGCCCATGGAAGGGAACAGCTGAGCTGAGCTGTCCATCTATCGGCTCTCCTGGCTCTGACCTGACGGTGGCTTTATCAGGGGGGCTCAGCCAAAGGGATGGAAAGATCCAGAAAAACAATTTGCACAGTGCAATCCGAAAGCTCTGAGCCTGCCTGATGGTGGCACAGGAACCTCCGAGATCCACCCAGATGTCTGGAAAACGCTCCGGGACCAGAGTCTCACGGCCCTGAGACAGGAAGCAGTGCGTGTCCCCGAGCCTCCAGGAAGGGCTGGGCCTGGGGCAGCAGATCTCCATGGGGGACATCAGGACAGGTACGAGCCTCACACTAGGGACAGAGCCGGCACTGGGCACCACCCACAATCACGACTGAGGACAGAAGCATGGGGACTGGGCTGGGCACCAGCAAGGAGCAGCAGACACTGGGTGGCACATGGTGACAGATAGTGAGGCCCTGCAGACACGTGTCACAGCCACATGGGAGCAAGCAAGGACCCAGGGGAGCTATGAGGCTGGTGTCACAAGAGAATCACAGGGTCCAGGAGCAAGGGCAAGGGCCGGGCTGTGCAACAGCAGAAACACAGGATGCAGCTCAGGGAGAAGGGCAGGGGGTCCAGCAGCCCTCACCCCTCGACTCCGCACCCCACATTAAAAAGGCTCTTACCCTTTGCAGGTGGGGCCTCCAGCTTCGGCCTAGAGACAGCACTTGTCCAGCTGACCCCAGAGGATACGGTCAAGTTCCTTCTGCCAGCCTGGGGCGATGGCCTTGACGTGCTGCCCACACTCAGTGGGGGAGGCAGCTCCGTCCTTGAAGGGGGGCTACGAGCCTGGGGAGCCGCTGAATGTGAGGCTCGGGCTGCGGGAATCGCTTGTGGCCCTTCAGTTTGGGGATGGGGATTGCAGGCAGGAGTGGTGACTGGGGACGGCCTGTGGGTAAGAGATTAGGCCTCAGGCAGGGGAGGATCCAGGATCCTCTCTCAGTGTCCCAGGCAGAAGCTGCACAGCCTCTCCCAAAGCTAATTCCCAGCGTCCACCCCCGAGAGCACAGTCCACCCGGCAAAGGGTGGGCCACAGGCATCGATTTCTGGCACTCGTATACATTGGTGGCTGATCTGCCACTAAAGCCAGCATTGGCTGAGATTAAAAATGTTCCCAAACACACCCCACATGGAGGCCAGGACCCAGGAGCACCAGGGACTGCCCTGTGGAGGCCCTGCCCAGAGCCACGGCTGGCCTGGGCTGCCCAGCTGCACACTCAGAGCTGCGTGGGCCAGAGGGGCACAAGGCCTTCACACGGGCTGCATGGCCTGGGGCCACCGTGCCCTGCCTCGGACGCAGACACATGCAGGAAGCCCAGGCTGCTGGCATGCAGAGCCCAGGGTGGGGACACAGGCACCTCCCCGAGCCTGGAGCTCCATTCCGCTGAGGTGTCCCCAGGAAAGGCAGGTGGACCCACCCTCCTCCCATCCCCGTGACCACCCTGGGAGTCTGGGCACCAGTGTGGGCTGCAACCAAGCAGGTCGAGGCCAAAAATGCATAAAGGGGTCACACAGGCGGCAGGCACAGCATGTCACCAGCTGGGAGGGGTCTCCTTACTCGCTGGGAGACTGTGCTGGGTGGAGTTCACGTCCAAAAGGGACGCTCAGAGGGGGACCTTATGTGCACAAAGGGCCTTGTGGATGTGGTCACATTACGAGATGGTCTGGCGGGAGTGGGGTCCTTTGAGAGACAGAGGAGACATGCGGGCAGGATGGAGAGATGTGGCCGCAGGCCCAGGCACACCGAGAGCCTCCTGCACCCAAAGACCAGAAGCTCCTGCCCTGGGGCCTCCCGGGGACCGCAGCCTGCCGACAGCCCAAAGCCAGGCTGCTGGCCTCCAGGACTGAGAGGACACTTGTGCCATTAAAGCTGCCCAGTGAGCAACTCCAGACACTAACAGTGACCGTCCACATTCTGCCATCTGCTCAAGGTCCTGGGGAAGGCACTGCACATGCGCCAGTCAGACGGCCAGTTCAGACCGGCCAGTGGGACACCCTGGACCCAACCTGTTTTCTCATCTACAAAGGTGCAGGGTCCTCTGAACCGACCTGTGTGTGCCCCACAGCAGACGCTGGTGGCAATGTCATCGCATGGAAGACCCTGAGCATGTGCCAATGACAGCCCATCACCAAGCCCAGCCGCTCCTGGAATTCTCTCCCCATTTCCCAGAAGAGAAAACTGAGGCTGGGGAATGCAGCTGTTGTGATCACAAGGCCAGGAAGGGCGGGGCCCAGAACCCCCAGCGGCCCTCCAACCCCTCTGGCCTCCGTGGACAGCAGTGACTGTGCCCTAGGTCCCCTCCTCCACCTACCTGCTGGGTGCCTGGGTGCCAGCCTGCTCCAGCCCCGGGAGGGCCTTCCTGAGGAAGCTCAGGGCCTGCTCTCTGCAGCTGTCCCAGGGAGAGGCATCTGCTGCAGCGGGGCCCTTGCTTGCTGAGCCACTGCTGGGGGACACTGGCGTCTGGAGGAACTTCTCCCGGGCCTGCTGGGTCCTGGAGGCCGAGGGGGTCCAGGCTGGAGCGTCCACTGTGCCTGGGGACCCTGAGCTCGAAAGCAGCTTGGTCTGGGCTGATGCCACTTGGGGGCTTCCCCGGCCTTGCGGTGTGGCAGGACGAAGGTCCGGGGCACTTGGGGACACAGTAGGACGCGAGCTGGCTGCCACTGCACCCTGAGCAGGAGACGACCACCCCACTGGGGAGCTGTTGGTCACACATGTGCTGACTTTGCCGTCCACAGAGGAGGTCACTCGGCTCGTGGACAGCCTGGGCCCCGCTGGGCTCCTCCCATGGATGGGAGCGGAGGTGGCTGGAGGGTCCCGTGCAGCGGGAACAAAACCTTTGGCAGTCGCATTGCCTATTACAGGCCCCTGGGCCACTGGCCTGGCCTTTGGGGCTGCCTCTCTCAGCCCATTTGTCTCCTGGGCCTTCTGTGGGGCACTGGGGGGCCAGGCGGGCCCAGGGACGGCCCCCGTTTGTCTGGAGGTTGGGCCTGGCAACGTGGGCTGTGCAGAGGCGGCTCTGGGGAGGTGGCTGGTACAGACGAAGACGCCCGGCTCCCCTGTGGCTCGGTAGGCCCCTGAGTGCAGTGTGTTGGAACACTGCTGGCACCTGCAGGAGAAGGTCACAGGGGCTCTGATCACTCCTTCAGCTGCTCACTGTTCATGCTTTCCCAAGAGCACACACAGATGTACTCCACATGTCTACACATGAGGTCACTGAGTCATTCAACAAACCCTCTTCTCATGTCCGTAACCACCGTGAGTCATAGGCTCCACTGAGAATCTCCCTGGGGGCGTGTGGGAGCCCCAGAGAGTGTTCCTGTCAGCACACACACAAGCCACCCTATGCCCCACTTTGGGGGCTGACCCATCCCCAATCTTGCAGATGGAGGCCCCTGGGGCTTGCCTGCTGGGAGTCCCTAGCCTGAGGGCCACAGGGTGGCTGCAGAGGGCGCTGTCAACGGCCACATGGCAGAAAGGCCCAGTGTGAAGGTCTGCGAGGGTCTAGGCAGATGGAGTCAGCCTGTCTGCAAGGGCAGTCAAAGGCTATCTCCCAGGGGACACGGGGGGACTACATCAGACCCTGGGTGCCCGGGAGCAGTTGGGCGCCTCTGGCCACCAGGCACTGATGAGACTGAGCAGGAGGGTGTGGCCGGGCGGGAGGGACAGGAGGCAGGGAGGTGTGGGAGGGGGGCGGTGCGCACCTGGGCACGGGGCAGGCCTACCTGAAGCAGCTGCGGTGGTACAGCCGCCCGTCAGCCAGGTGCCGCTGCACCAGGTGCACGTGCTTGCCGCAGACCCCACAGGTGCTGCTGACCGAGCTCCCTGCCGCCGCGGGGCCCTGGGAAGGTGCAGCAGCTGCTGAGCCTCGGCCGAGTCTCTCCAGGCTCCCGACCCAGCAGGGCACGTTGACCCTCCCGTCCCCGCGCCAGCCGCCCCTGGCACCTGGAGATGCCATTTACGGAGCAGAAAGGGAAGCCCCTGAAGAGCGGCCAGCAAGGGGCCGGCCAAGGATCCGAGTTCAGGGCCTCCAGCCCAGCCCTGGGAGGCAGCGGACGCCTGGCTTCAGTGTCCTGGGGAAGAGACAGGGACCAGGGCACAGACCAGGCCAGTCCCTCCTTTTCCCAGCTGGGGCACAGGGGTCCAAGCCCACTTCCAGCATGTGGGGCTCCAGCTCTTCAGAGCCCGAGGGATCACCCGGGGACAGCAGGGGGCGCCCACACCCATCCCTCGGCTCCACCTTTGGGAGTGGAGCCCATTCGCAGAGGCCAGCTGGCCTGGGAATGAAGGGCCAGCCGGGCCCTCCCATCCCCGCAGAGAAGCGAGAAGCCTGCGTGAGCCCAGAAAGGTCTGGATTTGGACTCTGCTCCACCTGCATGGCCTCTCTGGGCCTCAGTTTACCAGTCTGTATAATGGGGGTGATCATCTCAGCTGTGCAGACTTAAAGGAGTCGGGGAGGGGGCGGCGGGGGACAGAAAGCCAGCCCCAGGAGGTGCCACAGACACAGCAGCAGCTGTCCATGCTCTGGACCCCGGGGAGCCGCCCCCCACGGGCCTTGTGGTTCTGGGCCACACACAGCCCCACAAGCGCTGGCGGGAAACCAGAGGGAGGCCTGGTTGGGTGCTTACAGTCTTCGGGGACGGGGCCTCGGAGCCCCTGTCCTTCCTCTGGACCACGGGGTTCGTCCTAGCAGGAGAGAGTGGTGGCCCCCGGGCTGGGGCGTGCGCGGGCAGCTTGGCCGGCTGGCATGGGGCCTTCCCAGAAGGTTCCTCTTCGGAGTCTGACGAGGGCCTCTTCACCCCAGCCATGCCCCCAACTGACACAAGACGCACAGGGGTCAGGGGTTCCCAGCAGCTGCCACCCTGGCTCTGAAAGGTCCTGGGTCCCCCCAGAGGCTCTGCTGTCCAGCACAGGCCTGGGTGCCAGGGAGGAGGGGGGTGGACCTCCTGGGGCCCTGGCTGGGTGGGGTGGCCTGGGGCACATTCTTCCCAGGACAGCCTGGCCCACACCCCGTCCCCACTGAGAGCTCAATTTGGGGTCAGGCAAAAGGGACTTTTCTTTTCTCCACCAGGCAGGGCTGGCCCTGGGCCCAGAGCAATTCCGGGGATTTCTGGAGCCTAGAGGAGGAATGTGGGGCGAAGGACGGAGCAGCGCCACATGTGAAGGGCCGGGAAAGGCCCGGCCTGCCACCCTGTCTGGGCCAGCCCAGCCTCCCCAGGCCCCGGAGTCGGGACGACACGGGGGGGTCCGATGGGCCACTGGACCATGGGCATGGAAGCACAGGGGTCTGAATGGGCAGAGTGGCCCGGGGTGGAGGACAAACTGGGAACAGGGGTGAGCAGGAGCCACGCCACCCCCCCAGCACAGCAGTTGGGGACTGGGGGACCCAGGGCGCTCCACTGGGACAAGCCCACAGTCTCTTCAGAGGAAATCACAGCCTCGGGGGCCCCACACAATGTGACCCCCAGAAAGGCCTCCTCCCTGTGTCAGGGCAATAACACAGCCCCCCACCCAACGTGGGACAATGTGGGATGTCAGGACACTGGGGGGCTGGGACAGCCACATGGCTACAGCATAAATGGATCTGGTGGCCCCAAGAAGGGCATCTCAAGGAGACCCAGGGAGAGCCCAGGCCCGACCAGGCCTTGGTCTCCTTCCTGCGGCCAGGCCCAGGCCAGGGGGCAGGGACTCACTGGGGGAGCGGCCGTGGAAATAGTTGTAGTACTGGGACACGTAGGTCAGGATGCTCAGCCGGTCAGGCACTTTCAGGGCCACCATGTCCTCAGCGTCCAGCAAGGCTGGGATACCCAGCTGCTCCTCAGCCACACGGAAGGCCTGGAAGGTGGGCAGGGGTCAGCAGGAAGCAGGCCAAGAGAGCCCCTGTCCTTGGCCCCAGTCCACCCGGGAGCCAAGGCCCAAGCAAGGCAGGACACAGGCTTTGAGCCCAGAAAGCCCTGCCCGCCTGGGAGACCGGGGGCTCTGCCCGCCCACCTGGGTAAGGGACCAGGATTCCAGCTTCCTGAAGCTGCTCAGGGGAACCAGACTTGGTGGGCTCTGCTGGGGGACCTCACATCTTCCTGGAGCCTCCCCTGAGCGCCTTGTGGCCCCTCGGCCCTGTGACGCCAGACCCTGTCCAGTCGGGGAGGAGCCTCTCTGTGGGCACGGCCAACACCCATCCGGGGCCTCCAGGGCCAAGAAGGGACACAAGAGCAGCCTGTGTCCTAGCAGCCTGAACCATGGGGAGGAGACATTTGAGGCTAAGAAACTGGACTGGGGAGGGCCGGGAAATGTGCATTGTAGACCACCTGCAGCATACTGAACAGGGCCAATCTTAGCTTCAGTGCCACCCTGGCCGGCTCCGCAGCGTCCACTGCCTCCCTCCAGCAGACAACCCCCCAGGGGCTGTCCCCAAGCACCTGCTGACCGCCACCCCGAACTCCTGGGCTCACTTGGAAATCAAGTCCCCCAGGCGTGGCCGCAGGTGGCTCCCACCCCCAGGGCCAGCACCAATCCACCAAAGGTGGCCGCACAAAAGCTCCTCTGGGCTCACAGGCCTCACTTAGTCCAGGCCAGGGCCCCAGACAGGAGGGCTCTGTCTACCCTGATGATCCACCCACAGGCCCCAGACCCTGTCCCCGGCTGCCCTGTGTGGCAGGCTCCATCTGCCACTGCCTACACGACCCCCATGCGAACCCCAAACAGGGCGCCTGCCCCTCGCAGACCTGCTGCCCAGTGAGGGCGTCCTGCTGCCCTCAAACCCGAGGCTCCCATCTCCTCTGACCCCTCCTCCAAACAGGCCAGGATCCAGTCCCATCCGCGGCCACCACCATGGGCCATCCCTGCCCCTCCTCAGCAGCCCACAGGAGCGGCTCCCAGCTCGTCTCCCGGGGTCCCATCTGGCTGGGAGGGGAGGCCCAGGTCCTCCCACACCCTGCTCGGCCTGCCCGCCCAGCCAGGCGCCCTCCAGCTCAGGGCCTTTGCCCCTCTGGTCCCTTGCCTTGGGACGCCCTTCCTGCTGACCTCCACGAGGCCTACCCAGGACCACCAAGCCTGGCCCTCCCACAGCCTCCTGGGACCCCTCTCCATCTTGGGTGGCTGGACCAGGTCCCCTTCAGGGAAGGATGCTCCCTGGCCACTCCCTGCCCCCTGACCACCCTACTGAGGAAGAGAGAGGACCAGAGAGGTTGGGCTTCAAGATCAGAGGCCACTCCTGGAATGCCGGGTCACCCAGCGGAGGGCTGGCCACTGAGCTGGACAGCTATGTCGGGCCCTCAGGGGACCCGTGCAGCCAGCGGAAGACTGGCTGGGGTCAGGACCAGCTTTGAGGCTGGGCTGGGAGGGCAGGACAAGGCGGGGGACTCACCAGTTTGTTGTTCTCATATATGTTCTCCTTCCGGAGGGCACTGAAGTTTCTGGAAGATTGGAAAAAAAAAAAAAAAAACTCGTATCCAAAGCAGCTCAGAGTCCGGGGGGCAGGGGCCAGCGGGGCTTCCCCAGATGCAGAAGCCAAGGCCAGGAGAGGGGCAGGAACACAGGCTCCAGAGCAGACAGAACTCGGGGCTGCAGGGGGCACCAAGCTGGGCTACCGGCCTGCTTTGGCCAGTGAAGCTACCCAGCACCTACGATAGTGCTGCCACCCCTCACCTGGGCAGACAGCCCAGGGTGGTCTTTACAGCTCAGCCTTCACCTCCAGTCCCTGGGGAGGCTGAGCCCTTTGCCACCACTCCTGCCCCAATCAGAGGTGGCAGAAGACAGGACCAGAGAGGCAAAGCCACCAGCCCAGGGCAGCCCAGCTAAAAACACAGCTCAGAATAAGGTCGCTTCCAATACCAAGTTCAGTGACATGGTGACATGGTGGGCCAGAGAGGACAATGTTCTCAAGGACAGAAAGATGGGGTGGACATGAGAGGTCCCAGGGCCAGGGACCGAGACAAGGGAGGGATGGAAAGTCAGGAGGCCAGGCCGCCACACTGCCCGCCTGTCAGTCCCATCATTTGCTCCTGTTTTCATGAGAGGGGTGCCGTTCTGCTCTCCCCACCCTCGCCTGTCCTACAGAGGGGACCCTGGGCATGTCTGCATCTCACAGATGAGGAAACTGGGCACAGAGAGGCTGCAGGACATGCTCAGATCACACAGCAGGAGGTGGGAGGTGGACCAAGCCACGGCTCCTGAGTCTAGGTGCTCCCTCTTCCAGGATGGAGTGGCGTGACCAAGTGCCCACCAGGCGCTCCAACTCTTCCAGGGAGGGCAGACCCTCAGGAATGAGGCCATCAGAGCCCTTCCTGCCTCCTGGAGGCAAGGCCCTGGCCAGCCTGGACACAGGCACACCTCTGGCCAACTCCAGGACTGCACGCGCCCTCCCCAACATGCCCAGGACCACACACCACGGCCCACCCCACGCCTGGGGGACACTCTGAGCCGGGGTGATCTGGTTAAACTGTGACCCGTCCAGTGGCTGTCAGTGACCACTGTCAGGAGCTGCATTGTTCCAGAAGCCTCCTGGCACATGAGAGAGGCTCAGGCCCCACACCTGACCTGCAAGGCCTCCTCGCTGGGGCCCTCAGCTCCCCTGGCCCCAAGAAGACAAGAGCCGTGTAACAGCAAGGCTGGCAGGTCAGGTGGAGGAGGGGAGGCGCCGGTCACCTGGGGCCACCTGGCTGGGACAGCCTGTCTCCCAGCCCAGTCGGCAGCAGAGGTCAGGCCCTGCTAACCCTCAGAGAGCCAGGCTGTGCCCACTGTTCGGATGAGCAAGCGGGCCAGGCAGGCCGCGGGCCACCCACACCACAGGGTCCCAGCCAGCCATCAATCTGCCCAGCGCTGGGGAGGCCTCCAGCCCTTGTGGCGAGGACCACCCCCCAGGTGATGCGTCCCAGATGTCAAGACCACCCACGAGCACAGGGGCTTTCGGTGAGGAGACGGCTGGACAGATGACAGCAGGAGGGGGGTTTCAGCACCTGCAAGGCTGGGTGGCCTCTGTCCAGTCTGCCTGGGCACTGTCCACGGGGTCCATCCCCACCCAGTGGGCCCCAAGCATGTCCAGGAGCATGTGGGTGGAGGCCCAGCTCCCCAGGTCCACCCTGCCCGCTTCTCTTCAGCATCTGGGGACAGAGGCCCGGTCCCCCCTCCCCCCACATTCCCTTGGAAGTCAAGTCTTCTCCAGATCCCCAGGTCACTGCAAAGGGCAGGCCTGGAGTCCAGCACAGAGGCCACTCACTGTGGGGCAGGCGGGAGAACTATTTGTTTAGTCTCCAAACAAAGCGGGAGGCCACTAGCCTTCTGCATTTGCCTTCATCTACCAGGGCCCAGGCTCCCTCCTGCAGGGCCAGCTTGTCTCCCCGACCCAGAGTGAGCGGCCACAGCTCCAGGCAGGTCAGGCACTCCAGGGTCCCTACGATGGGACTGGCACTCTGAGCAGGGCACAAGGCACAGGTCGGGCACAGGAGAACTGCTGACCCTCGGGACCACGTCCAGGCTGCTTCCTGCCTGTGTCTCACTGCGGCCTGAGCTCACTCTCTCAGCGCAAGTGCAGGTGGCGTCACCTTAGTCCCTAAGGGGCTGAACTGAGAGGCCAGTGCACTGGCGGAAACCCCCAGAGTGGGAACCCCACCCATCCCTCCAGGAAGTCCACATGGCCAGGACCCATGGGGAGGACACCTGACGTCACGAGCTGAATTGTTTCCTCCAAAAAAGTTATGTGGGCGTGCAAACCCCGGGGACATCCAAACACAACCTCGCTTGGGGACAGCGTCTTGACAAAGGTGGTCGCATCAACCCTCATCATTTAAAGTCAGGTTTTTCTGGTACCTGGACCCCAGGGCCAGGTATACAGTTGGTGCTCTATTCATGCTTGCTGATGAAGGAGTCCACTCGTGTCTGCAGAGTAGGGATTCCACGGCCATCGTCGGTTCTTTGAACACTGGCAGGACAGATGAGTCCGCGGGGCCTACAGTGGCCAGTCACGCGTGTCTGCCAACTACGCCCCGTGTGTGCCCAGCCTGGCCAGATCAAGGCACAACCCTGCCTCCCGCAGGCCACCAAGGCCCCACAGAGTGTTAAGTTCAACCAGGGAAGGCGATGGCTCCCACTCCGGCACCCGAGGGGAGGGCTTCTGGGAATGTCAACCCCCTTTCCCGCTCCCAGATGGCGGGTCCCATGTTTCCCAGGACAAATGCAGCCATGCAGGGTGGACAGGGAGGGAAAGATCCTGGCTGTGTGTCTTCCAGAAACCTCCAGCACATCTGGAGTTAATCCTACCAGGATGGGGGCAGAGGGAGACAGACAGACAGACGGAGAGGCCCCCACCTCGCGGGATCCAGAAACAAAAACCCAGAGAGACACCGAGACAAACAGCACTGGGCGGCAGCGGGGCTGGGCCTCAGGGCCAGCGCTGGCCAGGGCTGCCCCCAGGGGCGGGAGCCATTCTGAAGAGCCTGGGCAGGAAGGCAGCAGCAGGGGCTTGGGCAGCAGGCCCTCAGGCCTGGAACAGAAGGCCTCTGTCCCCAGGCAGCTTCCTGTGACCACAGGGCCTGTGTGGGAGGGGGAGGAGGTCACCCAGCCACGATAGCCACCCCCGCGCGCCCGCGCCCGGGAGGGAGAGAGGGCAGCCTCTCAAGCTTCCAGGCAGGGCCTCCCATGTGAGTGAGAGCCCTGGGGACCCTGCCACAGGCAAGTTAGAGCCTTGGGGACCCTGGGGGAGTCCCGCCAGACAGGGTGCCACCACCCAAGGGCTCTACAAGGTTTGGTCAGCCACCGGCCTCCAGAGCTGGAGAGGCTTGGAGAATGTTCAGGCCACCCCACCACATGACTGAGGCTGGGGAGGGGGTATCTGCACAACCCCAGGGCCCCCCAAGTTCTGAAAATGGACCCTGCGTCCTTGATCCCCAGAGGAGGGCTGTAGGGTTTCCTGACCACCGGAAGGGCCCCTGGGCAGGTGCGGGGTGGCTGCCCACTCCCTCCACCCAGCTCCCGCCTGCCTCAGAGAGCCCAGGGGTGGCTCCTGGTCAGGCCCAGAAGGGGAAGGGGTCCGGGGTCACCCTGCAGCACTGCCAGCCCTGACAGGTTCACTTCTCAGGCTTGGGGAGGGTGGGGCTGTTTGCTCTGGGTGGCTCTGGAGTCACCTGGCAGCTGGCAGCTGTGGCTCATGGTAGAAACAGACCCTGTCTGCACGCACCCTAGAGAGCTGCCTGCAGAGACTCTATAGCTCTGGGGCACTCGGGGCAGCTGACTGGGCAGGGAGCCGCCCCACTTGCCTGTTTCCGGATCCGCAAGTGGAGATTCACACACACCTTCCGGTGGGAGGAGCAGGGATACAGTTCAGGTGAACTCCCCCAACCTGCCGGGCATAACCAGGAGCCGGGTGCCCCACCTGGGCTGGCTCAGTGCCCTATACTTGCTCCCTCACAGCTGTTCTCCCCTGAGGGCCAAAGGAAACATGCTCAGCATGCAGCAGGAAGGACTGAGGTCAGACAAAAGGAAGGCCTTCCTGGTGGCAAAACTAGGGATATGAAGACAGGATGTCCACCTTCCTGCTACCAGAGGGTCTTCATGTAAGGAGAAGAAGACAGGAGTACTGGGGGCTGGGTCCCACCAGACCAAGGTCTCACCCGAACTCTGACTTCAGGGCTCCCCCAAGAACCTGTCCTTCACAAGTTGCCTCCTTTCCTGGTAGCTACTGGGGACAGAAAGATCAGCTTAGGGTTTCACTGTGCTTCGCCCCAGGCATCTCTGGCCCAGAGGCATGGCCAGGCAAGGCAGGAGACAGGGACAGGCATGTGCTCCCCCCTCTGGTGTCCCATTAGCCAATAGCCACCAACCCTGTTGTAACCCACGTCTGTGTAACAAAGAGCCACAAACTGAGGAGCGCACTTCCTCAGTCCAGGGGGCCAGAAGCGCAACCTCAAGGCCAGGCCAGGCCTGCTGGCTCCAGCACCCCTGGGCTCGTAGCCCCACCACGCCTTATCTGTCTCTTCGGCTCTTCCTCGGGCCCCCACTACATCCACAGCACCCCGGGTGTGCGCTCTTGCCCGTGAGGCTCCAGCTATGGCCAACATCCACCTCACAGGGCACCAAGCATAGGGGCTACCGCAGTAAATAAGAATACCCCCACCGCTGCAAGTGACAGACCAGTGGGGACAGACAGCAAGCAAGCCAGCAGTGCACAAGTCGCTGCACCCAGCCTCCTCTGCCTGTGGTGGCCTCCACTCTCTGAAGTCACTCTGAGCCTTGAGTCATTGGCCTGCTCACTGCTCGACTCTGGGACTAGGACGGCGGGGCTCACTGTCTTTGGGGACTTTACACAATGCTGGGAACACCACGGGTGCTCAGCAGCCATCAGTTAAATGAATAGGTATGTGGTGTCTGCTTGTGCACATGCGTGTACATAATCACGTGCACACCTCTGTTCCATGTGGGCACTGTGTGCTGGGCCAGGGGCACAAGCACATCCAGCCTCTGACCCCAGAGAGCTGGGAGCAGAAGCTCTCCAGGGTCAGAAAAGCCCCAGATACCCAGTGACACCCATCCAAGGCTGCAGGTAGCCCATCTTCCCTCCACTTGAAGGCTTCAGGACTTGCCCCCTAGCCCATCTGGGCTGCCTGGGTGAGTCTCCAGCCAGCTTTACCCCGGACCCCCAGTGGGGCTCAGCCTGCAGCCTCCCCACTCCAGGTCCCTCTCCCAGCCACCATGCCGTGGCCCACTGGCCATCAAAGCTCAGCCTCAGGCTCTCCACACCGTGGAAACATCTCCACCTCCAAGGGCAATGAGGCTCATGCCTGGGCAGGGAGCAGAGGCTGCAACGTGCCCCACAGAGATCCCCTGGGCAGCTCCACAAAAGTACATCACAACCTTGGGCAGGAGCCACAGCCTCTTGCTCAAGACTCCCAGCTTCCTGGGGAAAGCAAAGCTTGGTACAGGGGAAGAGCAGGGTGCCAGCCCTGGCTCAGCCTGTGTGCTGTGTGCCCTGGCAAGGGCCCGCCTCCCTCCGCCTCAGTTTCCCTGTGTGCACAGCAGGGAGCCTGAGGCTGGGTCCAGAAGGTGCTGCCTCTGGCCTCAGCCAGCCCCCAAGACCTCCCTGGCAAACACACCCGCATCCCGGCCATTCAGCCAAAGAGCATTTGCTGAGTGAATAACTGATGGAACAGATTCAGCGAGGGCCAAGATCCAACAGCAAGGCAGGGCCAGACTCCCAGCCACCCATGCCAAGACCCTCCTGGGAGAGAGGGCCTGCCCACCTCCTGTAGTTCCCAGGAACAGGGACCCAGTCTCCTCATGTCCCCATCACCCCAGGATGCAGAGGCCTGCCAACAGGATGTGGGGTCTCAGGGCTTTCTGCTCTGATTACCCCTCTGGGCAGTGATGCTGGACTGTATTCCCAGGAGCCTGAGCAGGCTGGGGACAGGGGCAGCACCTGCACTAGATGCCTGGAAGGGCCAGGGACTTGTTGCAGACCCCAGAGGAGTATCCAGTCCCAGAGGGCCCAAAGGGGTAGCTCTGCTGGGTCTTTCCCAGGGAGGGGGGTGGCAAATGGGGCCCAGGACACTGCCCTGAGTCACCACTGACTAAGCCGGCGGCTGTTCTGGCCGTGGCCCAGCTGCCCTTGATGGACGGCGCACTGAGGCCGCTGGGTGCAGCCTCGGCGGGGGTGGGCTGTGCTGTGGATGCCTGCCCTTCCCAGTCCCAGGTGGCCCATCTCCCGGGCATGCCCTTGAGTTCTGACTCCCCCCGCCTTGCCCCAGCCCAGGGCAAGCCTCACTCACATGAGGTCAGGTCTGTGGCGGTGCAGGATGGCGCAGAAGGCCAGGCCGTCGCGGAACGACGTGGTCATGTTGGTGATGTTCACGTCGCGGTACCCCTCGCACTGCTGCCGGCACCACTGCTGCAGCGCTTTGATGGCGGCCATGCGGCCGGCGGGTGCTCCCCACGCGGGCTTGGCCCGCTCGGCCCGCCGGCGGAAACACACCGAGGGACGCGCGGACCGGCTGGCCCGCACGCAAGCAGCCGCAGGGATAAGGAGCCGTGGCCACCACCGCCGCCGCTGCCGGACCCTGAGCCCGCGCGCCGCCGCCTGTCCCGCCCCCGGAGGCCCCGCCCCCAAGGGCCAAGTACCCCGAGGGCCCGCCCCGATAGGCCTCGCCCCCGGCAGGCCACGCCTCCTGTCGGTCCCGTCCCGGCAAGCCACACCCGCTTTGGTCAACCCCCACTCCCGTACTGGCTCCGGCCGGGCCTCCCGCTCCGCCCCTAGGCAGACCACGCCCACTGAGGCCCCGCCCCGCCTGCCCTAACCCTGGACGCCGGAGGGGGAGGGGAGGGGGAGGGGAGGGGAGGGGGAGGGGAGGGGAGGGGCAGCTCCAGGTTTAGGATCCCGTGGCGGCTCCCTACAGAGGCTTCGGGTTTTCCTTTCAAGGCCCCACTTCCCACCGTCCTTCTGCCACTCTCCAGAAGGAAGGACAGTGGGCCAATGGAGAAACTGAGGCTGGAGCCGACCCAGCTTCCTGGGGAGCAGGAGACGCCTTGTTCCAGGGTGTTCGAAGTACTTCCCGCCTGGTTTCTCCACTCCCCGTGCATGCCCGCCGAGATGCCAGGCGAGGGGTCAGAAGACAGGCTGGCGGGGTGGGAACATCCCCAGGGCCCACCTTTCCTGTTTCTAGGGCTAGAGATGCCCGTTTCCCATTTTGAGCCTCTTTGACACCAGTAATTAAGGAAAGTGCCTCTTGGGCTTAGGGCTTACCCCACCTGCTGCTCTCCACGTTCTTCAGACCCTGTGAACCGGACTAACCCAAGAAATGCGAGATGACCCACTCGCTTGGCTGCCCCAGGGCTTGTTCAAGCCTGAGGCAGGAAGGTGTTTTCCCGAAACTGACCCCTGGCAGGGAGCCAGGGCAGCTTCTCTGGGTCCACTGGAAGGAGCAGAAACAGGTCTTCCAACCCCAAGCCACACAAGGGCTCTGAGCAGGCACCTAGGTGGGGACCGCCTCCTGCCCAGCTGTGTGAAGCCCATGTGGATGGTGAGTTCCCCGTCCCAGGGGCATGCAAGCAGGTGCAGAACAGGGGTCCCCCACTGTCACCCCAGATAGTCATCCTGACCCTTGCCCTCCAAAGTTGCTGACCCACCAGGGATTTCCCAGGAGGAGACAAGGGCAACACTGTGCCACCCAGGGCTGTTCCTGGAACTGGGTTTTCTCGACCCTGAGGGCAGCGGTCAGGAGAACCTGAAAAGCTGGTAAGGAAGGAGCAACCACGAAGTGTGTGCAGATAGGGCGTGGGTTGGGTGAAGGGCCGAGAAGGTGGTGGCCAGCGCTCTCTGGAAAACTGTCTCACAGGTCCCCACGATACTCAGCCTCCAGGGCTTCCTCTGATAACTGAGTTGGGAGGCAGCATTAGTGGCAGTTCCCTGGGGCCACCAAAGATGTCCCTACCAGCACCTCACACAGCATATCTTTCCACGGTCCCCAAGCCAGGAGCCAGGACACTCCCAATCTGGTCCCCCTGGCCCTTGCCCAGCACTGCCACCCCTACAGTGAAGACCACCACATCCTGCCCCTCGACTGGGCCAGCTCCCTGGGGCCCAGCAGCCCAAGCACTCTTTCTAGCAGCTTCTTTCCTACCTGGTGGCCCTCTGAATAAAGTCCATACTTTATCAGGCCTTAGGCCTCACTTGGTCCTGCCAGGCCCTGCTTATCAGGGCCCCACCCTGGCCACACCTTGGGTGCTCCACTCTGACTCTGAGCCTCTGCCATTACTGTGCTGGGCTCCGCACTCCTCCAAGACCCCAGCCCCTGAAGGCTTTCAGGTACCACTGTGCTCCTCCTTGGTCCCAGGTCCTCATCTGGCCTTGTGCACCCCCAAGGCTGATCCGAGTTCTGCATTCCCACTGTGTCCTATGCTCTGTGCCACCTCCCTGCTGGGTCTCCTTGTCTGTCTGCAAAGATCAAAGGCCCTCCTCCCAAGGGATCCCAGAACCAGGCATACAGTAGGCACTCAATGAATGCAGATCATGTGCTCACACTTGAGCCTGGGGATGAGAAACAGGTATCAGCTATGTGAGCAAGACAGGCGCTGGGGTGTGGACTCCAGACACCAAAGTCTCAAGAAAGTTGCTGCTTCCAGCCTGCAGCTGGGGCTAGGGGATAGATAGATACACAGACCCCACGCCAGAGAGAACAAGGCGACATAGACAGAGCGAGCAAGAGACAGGGGCAGCGCTGAGAGAAGTTATAAGAATTGTCTCCTGAGCAAAGCAATCCTTATCTGTTGTAGAAGATTCAGAAAGCACGCCAAGCTAAGAGGAGGAGGACAAGTCCAGTTGGTGTGCTTGTGACACTCACTGAAGTGTTTGACATAAAGATGAAATAAGGTCACCCGCCCATGGCCTGTGGCAGCAAGTCCAAAGTCCTCTGTTGAGTGTCACGTACCCCGCAGGCTTTCCAGCACCTGCACGTGGCAGTTTTTGCAAAATGTGGCCACCAGGCTGGGTGACCTGCTCTTTCTCCAGCCTGTGACTTAAGGGCTGGAGAAGGAGCAGGCAGGCGCGTGGTGCAGTGGCAGGTCTCTGTGGCCAGGCAGGGGAAGCAGTTGGAGGACTGCAGGCGTGGGAGGGAGGAGCACAGAGGCCATTCACGCCCTGAGCACTCTGGAGGCCTCGTTCTGCTGCCCCTGGAGCTGTGCAGTGCACAACAGGCACCACCGTCCGCTCATCCCTGGCCACCTGAAAAAGAATACACTGGGGGAGGCTGAGCCTCGCCTCTCACCCAGCCTCATTGGAGGTGCCTCCTCAGGTGTCCTCTCCCAGCTCGGTCCTCCCTGGCCCCACCACTCCTTTGGCCGGGTCTCAGTGCTCTGCAGACCCCACCCTTTCCCAGGCTCATTCCAGCACATGAAAGTGCCCTGTCAGCCACCCGCCTCACTCAGTCCAGAGCCAGGACCCCAGGGGGTGCCATGTGCCCACCAGGCCACCCTCTCTTCCTCCCTGGCTGTTGCCACCCTCCATTCATCCCACTCAAATCAGCAGCCTCCTTGGGGACCCCAGAGATGTCCACACACACCCCTTGTCCTTGCATGGGCTTGTGGCTCTGCCTCCCCTCCCCCCTGCAGCACTCCTGAACTCCTGAACACGGGTGCCAGGCCCTCCTGTCACTCAGCCTGGACCCCCACACAGACCACTCCCACCAGCCTCCCATCTGACCAAAGCAGAAAACTTGTCACCTCCCAGACCTGCTCCCCCTCCACACTCACTGTCGCATTCCTCCTCCCCATGTCCTGGATCTTGTTCCAGACAGGTCCCCGCCCCCACCACGTCCACCAACCCACTCTGGCCAAGGGTGCCCTGCTTCATGCTGCCATCAACCTGTGGTTCTGGGCCAGATCTGAACAGTGTCTCCTCCTGTGGGACCCCACCCCGGGTCCCCTCCGCATCCTGGACTTCCACCCTCTGTTACTCTCCCTCCCTTGGCAACCACATGGCACTAAATTCACACCCTTGTGACAGATCCCAAGTGTCCACTCCTGGCCTTTCCGAGTGGCTCTTGTGCCCAGCACCTCCCTCACGGCTCCTGCATGCCTCCAGCTCAACTTCTCCCAAACTGAACTTTTAACTCTGGGCCCCAAACTGCCCACCACAGCCCCACGCACTGCCCACTGGCCGCTCACCTTCTGGCCCTGTCCTGCCTATGTCCAATCCAGGGAGGTCGGGAACTCGACCTTCAGGACACCTCCTGGGCCTGCGCACCGCACGCCACCTCCTTGCCAGCCTTGTCCCTACCCCATGTTCTCTGCCTGGATCTCTCCGGGAAGCTTCTCAAATGGCCTAGCTTCCGCCTGGCCCACCGTCCAGCCTCAACACAACTCAACCAGGCAGTGAGGCCGGGTCCCTTGCTCAGATTGCAAGAGCACAGTCCTGGCACTGCCACTAGTCCTGGGCTCCCTGGCACCTCCTTCTGCGCTCCCACCTGGAGCCTTCCTCCTGGCCACTGCCCAGGAGACCCCTTGTCCCAAGTACCTGCCTGCTCGCCCCACCCCCTTCAGATTTCACTCAAGTACCCCTCCTGAGGCCTTTCCCCAGCCCCTGGTCCTCACTACCCCTCCTGCTCTGCATCATCTGACACTCAGGAAAGCCCTGTGCGGTCAGGACTGTCGGCCGATCCCTGCTGTGTCCCCAACAGCCAGCAAAGCACCATGCACAGAGCAGGTGATCAGCGAAAGCGTGGACAGCCAAGCCCCCACGCAGAGCTCACAGTCTGGTAGGGGAGATGGGAGCGAATGCCCTGATTTGGGGTTTTCTCCTTCTCCAGGCAACCCTGTAGGCGGGGAAAGCCCCACCTCCTAGCCGATGTGAAGCACCTAGATGTGTGGCACCTAGATGGTGGACCTTGTGCAGGCCAGAGGGCTTGGGATGTCTTTCCAGGGCGGGACACATGAGGACTGGGACCCACAAGATAAACAGGGGAGGGACAGGACAGTACCCCAGCCTCTACCCTCTTCACCTTCCTCATTGTGGCTGGCGAGACAGAGGTTCCTGGAGGGGCAGAGGCCTCCTGTCCAGCCAGGCAGGAGCCCTGGTCAGCGTGGAGGAGGGCTGGGGAGCCCTACTGTGGGCAGGACTTCCAGGCCAGACAGCTTCAGCCTCCACATGCCCCTCTCAGAGGTGATGCAGGGGCCTCCCGGGAAGGAGGGAATCGCAACTCGTCACTGGCAGGACAGGTTAGAAGCATCGCTCATCTCCGCAGCAGCCCTGGCCCACCCACCCACCGCTCTGCCCCCGGAGGGGGAGGGGGCTCCAGTGGGGTGGGGCGCGGTGGGGCAGGGCCTGCAGAGTGACCCCAACGAGCCCAGTGGGGCGGTGACCACACACGTGCAAGTGCAGTGGGCCTGGCAGCACCTGGGTCCACGGAAGAGGGCGGACAGAGGGGTGTGAGAGGAAGTCCCCCGTGGGCAGCACTTTCTGCGGGACC